TGACTGGCTATACAAATCTGTCCTAAGGAGACTGGGTCACATCTGTGCCCTCTGTGGTCAACAATCGACCACCTACCACCTTGCTGAAACATCTCAGCACCTCCCATGGCAGGAAGTGGACCTCTATCGCCTCATACGCTGAATGGCTCCAGACGTCGTGCGCACTCAGGAATGTTGGACGCACTTGCCTCCGACCTCCAGCTCTGTCAACCTCACGCGTGCACGGCCTTCTCTCAGCTGGCGCTCTTTGTGCACTATGACCCCACCAAGTTCTCCGAGGGGACGGTTCTCTCTCATGCGCTTAAACTGGTCAGCCCAACCTTGGAGCTGGTGGATTGCCGGGATCTCTTGCAGCATCTTTGGAACACCCATGCCAAACATAGCAACAGAGGCAGTCTGTACTACAAGTACCTCACCTCTTTTCGACTGAGGCAACAAACATGCTCAGTGTGTGAATCACATGCCGCTGCTGCTCAGTGTCCAGTGATCTTGCAGGTTGCTGCCCTTCTTGCCATTCTGCACCATGGGCATGGACAGCAGCGACTTGTAGATGAAGATGGAGGTGGACGAGGAGGAAAAGCAGAGTGCCAAACGGCAGCGGTCCACCACGTGGAATGGCGTGAAGGGCCAGGGCAAAGGGAAAAGGAAGAAAAGGATTGGGGTAGACCCAGAGCCCAGAGCATCAAGGAAGAATCTACACCAGGTTCAAAGACGCTCCTGCAGGTCCTGACAAAACTAGTACTACGTCGCGAATACAGCCTGCAGTGCCTGGCCATGGAGACGGAATTCTACGTTCTTTTGAGCGCGGGGTGAGGGTCCATCCTCAAGCTTCTGATGTCCAAGACCACGGACTGGCGCCAAGCACCGCAGGAGGAACGCCCCCCTGCCATTGCGGATCTTGATCTTGAAGACCATGTTGGAGGAGCTCCACAACAGGACACTCAAGCTGCAATCGACCGACTCCTCAGATCCATTGATCCAGACCTTGGTGAGGCTCCTACCACTTTCCCAGAATGAAATGGGACCACGACAAGCACGAGATGCAAGCCCTACCAGATGCTCAAGTCTCACTTTCCTTGGCACTGCATTCCTTGCAGAGGATGCTCACTCTCCTGGCTTTGATCAAGAGGTTCCATGCTCTTCGACCCAATCACCGAATCCAGAAGGTCATCGGCGCGGACTCAGAGAATCCAGCAGCTGTCCTTCCATGGAGAGTGACGTTGGCCCTGACCCACACCTACTCGAAGGAATTGCGGGGGCTCTGGCACCAACTAGCCAACACCGGGCTCTGGCAACTCGTTCTGGATGCGTCCAGCTACGATGCAAAGGACTCCATTAGCCCAGCACCTGGGAAAAATGTTGGAGGCTCTCTGATCTCAGCTGATCACAAACCTCCTTTGAAGACGCTGATGAACCCATCTTCATTCAGCTGATCACTGGGCTTGTCTGGGGCGCTTCTCAGCTCAATGGCCTGAGTGAGGACCAATGGTCCAACTTTCCGCAGCTTCAGCAAGATTGCTGAACCATTTGATGGGAACTCGTTGTTGCTGTGGGCCGATGGCCAATGGACGAATTTACTCATGGACTGGCCTGATCCTTTTCGACAGCGCGATGTTGTTGACTTCACTCATCACATCCTTCAACTGTTGAACCCCATGTTTTTCAGCTGCTGCTGGGAATCAAGACTGGAACTGGAACAGGATGGTCAGGTGCGAGTCGTCGATCACAGCGACCACAGCTGCCCATTGCATCTTTACGTGAGCTCGACTGGCGGAAGCAAAAAGATGCCCGGGCCCATTGACTTGCAAGCTCTTCTGACTAGCTAGAGCATGGGCAGTTTTGGCCTCCACGCATTGATGAGGTCCGGCAGACCTCACCTGGGTACAGCTGGACCGCTTCGACTCTTTCGGTCAGAAATGCCGCACTCGAGTCACTTCGCATTCTAAGGTATGGTATGGATTCCACACTTCATTGGCTGCAGCCTTGAGCTGGACAACGTGCCATATGTGGGGCATATCATCTTGGTCAGGACTCATCTTCAGGCCACTATGTCTCCGCGATCAAGGATGCTGACAGCTGGTGGGTCTACAACGACTCTGATGAGCCCCGGCTCTTTCATGAACTACCAGCTGTGGTGCTTGAGAACGTTTGCATGCTTTGGTTGAGTTGCGCACCCCATGGTGGCGCTGAGGTTGTTTCGTTTGCCTGCTGATGAGGCTCCTTCACTGACACAGGACGAACAGATTCAGAACGTGCTGAATGATCCAAGCTCCAAGGACGCTTGGCTCAATGGCTGGTCACAGGCACTGGACCTGATGGACACTCAGATCCTGGTTGATTTTCCTGAACTCTGTCACCGGCTGGTCAAGAAATGCCTTTGCTGCCAAACCTGGCCTGCAGACATGAATGCCCATTTGGCTGCCCACCACAGGGACCTGTGGCTGGCAGCGGAGCCCTTGGAGGAGACGTGTGGTGAGAGATTCAGCTTGGCCGCTCCGGCCACCCGATGGTGCGCCTGCCAGCCCTACCAGAGGCTGGGAGAAGCTGAGCGAGACAGCCATACCTGTCCATGCCTCAGACAATTTTCCTGTCTGCATTTGGTGTTGTGATCCTCCCAAAAGCAACGAGCTCACACCACTACCCTATCTTTGCTGCTTGGATCTCACTTTGGTTGAAGACCCTTCGGGGCTGGCGGACCGGCTAAAGGCCACGGGTCCACGCCATCGCCGCACGGTGAGCGTTGAGAAAGAAAAGAAGAAGAAGAAGAAGAAGAAGAAGAAGATGAAACCAGGCGAGTCGAGCGATCAATGACAAAGAACAACATGTGTCACTTGCAGCTATCGAGCGATGGAGTGAGAGGGTGACTGTGAGGGAGTGGGTGAGTGAGTGAGTCAATGAGCACTTCCGGCGCACTGCATTGTACAGACTCGCCAGTTCAAAAACCCAAACTGCTACAAGCCAGCATATATGTACGGAATTGCACCGTCTGAACGCGGAGCTGCCAAAGCGCGAGTTACCAATTCTCAGGCCGGAGCAGCGTGAAACTACTTCGAGTTCCAGATGTATTACAAAGTTGTCATTTCTGAGCCGGGTGCAGAACAGGAAAAAGGTTGTTGTGCAATTGCAATAATTACGGGCAATAGCTACTTCACGTATCATATTGCGCATCCCTTGCAGTGTGTGGACAATTCATCCGACCTCGTCTGCTACGGCAGGGACTTAATAGTCCATTTCCGAGAGTGTGTGTAGATGATTCCCTGATCCCCTCCGCTACTATCAGGGGCACAACCACTGTATCCGGAACGTTTGCCGCTGGAACTCGCTGGTGCACAGTTCCCCCTGGTCCTGCGCATCTCTCGCAACCATCACTTTTCCAAACAGCCAGCCTGCCCCTTAACACTTCTGTCCTTTAACAGCGCGCGAGACCAAGCGCAGGCTAACTCCTAAGATCCCCTTGGGAAGTACTTGGCAACGCAGTGGAATGCATATACATGAAGCAAAAATAAATAATTTACCGTATACACACATGCTTAATCATACCACCGTCAAAACAGCGGGCTGCACACATGTCTGCGAAAGCCTTTGAGTCGATCCAAGGCACTTTGCGGGGAAATAGTCTTCAATCCATTCAGGGTGTGGCGAACTGGGCAAATTTCGTTCAAGGCGAGCACACTCTTGCTTGAAGATGGAGATGAACTGAAGAATTAGACAGGAAAGTACAATGGAAGGGTGGCTACTTGTAGCCAAAGTAATTTGTCTCTAAGTGGCCGATTGGCCTCGCCCAGCTCACAAGTCTCCATTGCGATACATACAAGCAAGCCGTTGCTCGTTCAAGAATGGCAACTAGAATAGAAGGATAGAAGGCGCATCAAATCATGAAGGAAATAGAAGGTTACCCACGCATGTTCGCAGCAGGCAATGAAGAGGAAAGCGTTTCAACTGAAGAGCGGGCGATACAAGTTAAGAAACACATGACGGATGAAGAGTGGGAATAGGAAAGGTTCTATGGGCAGGGACTAGGAACAGGCTATGAACCAACGCCGCAAGTACGAGCTTCCAGTTCAGCAGTTTGGACGAGGGGCCTGAAGATTCGGACTCGTATGTAACTTCGGCTAGGAAACGTGACAGCATGGCGAGACGGTGGACATTGAGGCCCTTGTGGTTGATACCATGGACGCAGTGACGATGCTCAAAAAGGGTGAGTGCGCGCCTTTGGCCAGGGTTGGCAACGCCCCTGCCTCTTTTGCGCGATTCTGTCAATGAAATGGCACCATTCATGTCAGGCGCGCTTGCGTATGAAAACAGGCGCAGTGTCGTGAGGGTTTCTTGGTACGGACTCTTCACAGACGAAAACCTAGGAAGGTGTGCGCGCGCTTGCCAAGGACTGCTTTGAAGAAGCCATGCAGAATGCAGTGGATAGCAAGCCCAGAGAACGAAGTGGCCAATCAGCGTGACGCACTGCTTCCCTTTCTTCTTCCTCTCCCCGTTGTAAGTTTAGCCAACTGCGTCATGTGCGCAATTATTGCGCTTAGCCGACTGGCACCGCATCACCCAGTGGAGACTTTGCGCCGCAAAACGGTGGCCAACGCGACTTGTCGGTGAGCGGGACGGCAAAATGAGGTGTCTGTCGCGTCACATCTATTACTAGCTTCTTGCTACTAGTAAGGCCAGGAGCCCCCTAGTAGCGATTCCCTTTGTTTCTAGTAGCTTCTAGCTGATTAGTAATGCCCTTGTTAGGATGCGAACAAGTGGGCATATTTTCAAAAGAACTTGTTCCGTGTCGCGCTCGCCGGTTCCTTTCACACGTCCGTTCTCAGCAGGTTCCTTTCACATGTGATTCTCAGTCGGGTTGGGGTCCAACAGGTTTTCAAGTAGTGAAACTCTGACGAAAGTAAAACACTTATAGCAATGGCCTCCAACCTAGCAGTAGCGCGGCACTAGTATATAAGCGGCTTCTGTAGGCTTACAGGCTTTCTTGACTGATCCGTCTGCGCCCACACCTCGTCTGGATCTGTCGGGGTCAGAGCTTCAATGCAACGCACCGCGTCTCGATGATCTTTGAAGCGTATGTACCTGGCCACGGAGAAGGAACAAACTGCAAACAACATGATTCTTTTGGGCCGAAAAACAGATCATGGACGATGGTAGGTAGTGCGCCCAAAAGAGTACTTGTGTCTACATTGCCTATGGCCTATACATACTATTGCGCAACAAGCGCAAACCCTTAACTCTGGCGTTCCACATTTAAAAACAACGGCAACAAAGGTGGATACCTTCAACCTCGTAGGAGTTTCTGCCGGTCGAGTTGTTTTTCAATGTTTTTCAGTGTTCAAACCATGGAAACACTGCCGGGTCTACGCATCAATTTCGATCTACAGCAACTTCTGGCGTCAAAAGCTATACGCTTAGATTGGCCGGCTGGGAAAACGTTGGGCGCGGCGGCGTGGCAAACATAATTTGACAGCGCTTCCTTTTGGTACGTGTTTTCTTCTGAAAACATGTTTGCATTTGCGCCCGTTGAAACAATTCGGCCCCCCTGCTTGTCGCGCACTAAAGTGTTCTGGGTTGCAGGCACCCCTCGTTGACTTGCTCCATCGAGAAGGCGTCGGCATTGAGATGCAGATCATCGACTTCTCCAAAGCCCTGGAGCGTTGATCAATTCATGCTTAAGGCTGCGGTCAGCGCAGTCAGCCATCTGTCACTGCCATCCAACATGTCTTGCATTGCCAAAATCTGCGGGTTGGGGCATAGAAGGGCCGCTGACGCAGAAAACCCAATCAATGGTTAACATTGTTAACAATTCCATTGCTTATACTCAAGATTCGCGGCGCACCCTACAACCCTTTCAGCGACTAAAATAAACCCTGCAGAGAAGGTAGCCCTACTGGCGCATCTTCGCTACCACAGACCAACCCGACAAAAACTACAGAGGCTAAAGCGCTTTCTGTCAAGTTTTCAAATCTTCTCGCGCCTCAAAGTACTCCTGGAGCTGTTGCCGCGACATGTCATGCCTGGGCTGCGAAGAGCTTGCATGCGTTGGAACAAAATACTGTCCGAGCCCATAGACAAAGGCAAGTTTCGAACCTTGGTTGGACTCAACGGCGCGGCTGTGCCGCGCAGCAGCTTTGTCACATCTTCAAGACCCATCACACCCAATGAAACTGCGCCATGAGTTCACCCTATGCTCTATGAAACCGCGCTATGAAAGTGCACTGTCCTCTCAAATCGCTACATTGTCTCGTGAGCGGTTTGAGGCTTTCTATGCCGTGCTCCTGCAGAGCCTCTGAAGCCACAGGAACATTGTGTTGCAATGAAGGCACGCTGGCACTGATCATGGTTCTGCAGAGTGAATGCCTGCGCGCGGGTTGGCTTCATCAGCCGCGCGCTCTTATTAAACCTAGCCTATGCTAGAGCCTGCTTGCACGGCGCATCATGGAGAGTGCAACGCTTTGAGATTTTCTGGGTTGGACTGTTCCAGAAGCAGCCATTGCATGATTTCGTGGCACTGACGGGAGCTGCGTGCATGCTAGGTTATTATTGGCTCTGCCTTATAGACTTGTGGCAGGCAATTCGGCCATGAGAGGCGAAGAAAGGGGGCTGAGTCCGAAGATTGCTCAGGGGTTATGTCCTCGTCTTTCCTTGTTTGCATCGAGCCTCTTCTGTGCGGAGCAAGCTTGTGGTATGCAGCAGGGGGCCGGGCCGATTGTGCTACCTGCTCCTTTAAAGTTTTTCATGATGGAGAAAGCCAGGTCTGAGCCTGGTGTGTCTGCGAAGAAATGACTGCAGCCCACAAACTCAAGCTGGTTCGCTTTCCACACTCGTCGTTGTCCAACTGAGTTTGACAAACGGTCTACCTGTTCCACTTCTAAAGTATCTCTCAGAAATCTTTGGCTTTGGGAGGCATTTTTTGCGAGTTTGGTGCTCTCGTGCACGGGCAAAGCTTCCTTTCGAGAGGGGATGGCACAGTGAACAAAAAAAGCATCATACAGAGCTATGTGGGTTTGCGGCATATAGTTCTCGGTCCTCTGGTCCTGGGCCAGCCTCAAAGCACTGCAAGGAGCCTTCTAATTGCAGAGTTTCTGTCTTATCAAAGTTGTCAGGCAACTCTTGCAACGCAAAAAAATGAACCGTAGATTGAACGCACAGTGTGAACTGCTGTCAGAAACAAACTTGAGATTGCCCGAGATCAAACAATTATCAGTGATACAGTCCTTCGAGAATGCGAGAGTCAGGTCAAACACAAACAAGCGTGTTTTCGTTGAATCCACCTCAAGTGGTCTTCTGCTCAGCGCCAGCTGATCAATGAAAATGCTCACTTGGAAGCTTCCATCCTGAGTGCGGGCTGACAGCCTTTGCGAATCTTTAAGCAAAATGTTCAAGACTGAGATACTGAGATAAGAGCGATCCAAGACTTGCTGTGCCATCGGTGACAAGCCACAATGCATTCCTAGAGAACAAGCAAGACCAGGAGTCCATGGGGAACAAGCATTGCCAACGTCCTCCACAAGGTCGCCATCACCCACTTTGGTCTGATGCAAATTCGCCACAGCCTTTGATGAAAGAACACAACAACCATCCATGCTTGCTATTCTGAAACATCTCAAACGAAAGATTGTGTGCAAGACTGCACCGCCTTGTCCATGGCTTGGCTGTTTCGCAACTTCACATACGCTAGGCGGCCAGAAGGAGCAACCTGACAATATATCATGTGACATCCAAAAGGGAGAGAGGGCAATTTGATTGCAAGCAGTGATTCAATTCCAGCTGGAATGGGCCTCCCCAGACACACAAATTGGCTGAGCATTCTCCTCCTCAAGCGAAGGCTGAAACTCAAATGCAATGAGCACGAAACAAAGACAAAGAACTAACATCACAAAACTTGAATGATACCCACAAGCCATGCCAGGCCTCCTCCTCAATTGTGACCGAGGTCAAGCCACCAAAAGGAGCAAAAACAAACCTTCAAAAAACACAGTTCGGAGAAGAATTTAATACAGTTTCACATGTGTTTGGCTTTTCCAAATGATGCCTCTTCAGCTCTCAGACTCAATCAGTTTTTGAATGCTTTAATTTAAACCTTTAAGAAATGCACATTGTTTCAAAATCTCCCACCCCGTGAGGTGTTTTGCAATGTTTGCAAATCTATAATTGGGAAAGCACTCAACTACTTGTGACCAGGGAGGAAACACTAGTCGACTGCAAGCATGGTAACTCAGCGGGGGTGTGAATGCTCTGAGGGTGCCAGGGTCTTTGCCTACATTGGTGTTGAACATTGTTGAACGCAACATCTTAAGGAGGTGATCCCAATGAAACATTGCCTTTGCATTCCTCTTTCCGACTCTTTCCTGTTTCCCTGCTGCTTGGCTGGATGAAGGCATTTGTCCGTAATTGGGAATTATATAACATGAAGACCACTGAATGCAAACAGCGCAATATGCTCAACAAACAATGGAGATGACAGGGGCAAACATTTTTGGTCAATCAGAACAAACGGCCGTGGAGCCCAAAACCCTTCAGTGCACCTCCTCTTTATGGGGGTTGTTGCCGACTCTGGGTCGTGACTCCGGGCTTGCGCCATGGACGTCATGACATTTCCCTGCTGTATTTGCCTGAACATTGGCTCGTCCACAAGTATGACAAGATTCTGTCTGTCAAGACTCCTTGTCAAGATGCTGCTAAGGCGGCGCTTATTGAATAGTCCAAAAATGATGTTGGTTGGCATGTTGTGACCATGGCCATTACTAATTACTACGTACTTGCTTGATGTGATTGAGGACTGCTCCTCATCGTGCCTCCTTAAAGTGCTTCATGACTTGGTGAGGAAACAATACCCCCTGGAGCATTTCCTGTACATCGGGAAGTTACTCGATGGAGCATCCAGTATGGACACATCGTGATGTTTCAACCAGTTCACGTGAACGAACATGATCTGGGAGTCCGTCAATTCAATATGTTGTGTTTGTGGGCAAGGCAGGGCTTGGCCTTGAAGCGGAGTGCACCTGCCACACAAGCCGTCAAAGTCTACATGTAGTTGGCTGGCGGCTGATAGAAAGCCGGGGGTGGGGTGGGGCATGTTAACGTTCGCTGGCACTTACGTCATGAAGTTGATGCTACGTTGGGGATGGGGGTGGGGTGGGGCATGTTAACGTATACGAATACTTGACGCACTTGTGGAAGCAAAGGTGACAAAATGAAGTAGTTTGTCCGGACGTTCTGGGTCATCCATTTTCACATGAAAAGAAACATTATATAAAATTGTAAAAACCAACACGAAAACAACCTGTGATGATGATAAAACGAAGCGGCGTTCTATCAGCCGCTTACAATGTAGTTTGGTACATTGTGGTGCTTGATGTGGACGAACCATTTCTTATGCAACCTGCTCTTCTATGTTTATTTTGGACTGCCCTGTTGTTGCTTTGCTTCCAAATACAGAGTATGGCTGCACAGCAGTTTTATCAAGCGGATATCATCTACATTCCTTTGGTTTAGCAATGGGAGCCGCGCAAAACAGTGCACAAGTTGTCTGCGGTCAAAAGCAACTTAACTTAACATGATGAAAGGCCCAAACTTGGAGAGATGATGCTTCTGCCAGCCGAGGAAGGCCATGAATCAAACAAAAGCACGATTGAACGCGTCATCTATCACTCCTGAAACTTGCAGCCGCTGGAGTTGATAATGCTGAACTGTGGAGGTACGGTTGAATACATTCTGCGCCGCTTCGGTTCATGGTGCTCGCACCCCTGGTGTGTCATGCAGGCAGGTGGTGCAGCATTCTGCCAATGGGAACTTATTAAGGGGAGCGAGGTGGGGATAATCTTCGCAGAAGTGGTGCAGGATTTCTTCCTTCGCAATAGTAAGTGGGAACCTGGCTTAGAAGGTGGCAGTGCCAATGTGCAGGGACCAGCACGGAATTCCCGTCTATGATATATGATGATATATGTGCATATATATATATATGTATTGTGACATATTTTAAGCAGGAACCGTAGCCACTGTATATTGCATTATGAACACTTCACTTGAACAGCATGAGACTGTGTTGAAGCCACTTTTGGATCAAGAAAAGGTTCGCATGGTAGCGGAGCAGGGATAAGGGTAACCCCCCTTAAGCTCCAGAGGAACAGCCCCTAGGTCATTGGGATCCCGGGTGCGATTTCGAGCCATAGATTTGGGGCCTTTGGAGCCCAAACAGCTGGACTGGTGATAGATTGTTGTGAGCGACGCTCTGTACCCCGGGTAATTGGATATTTGCGCGGGCGCGCACACACGACAAACTTTTCTTGCGTCGACTACTGCATCCATGACAAGGACGCCGTTCCTGTCACACATGTATACATTTAGTCAAGATGCAGTGCAGTAACGTGACGGAGAACGCAGGGCGTTTGCAAGCAAAAGCTTGCCCTTGGCATGCATCACCCAGTACCCAGCCACGAGCGTCAAAAGCAAAAGCACCCCTTTTGTGTAGATCGGTTGGATGGCTGCAGCCAAGTCAATTTGGATCGCGCAAAAGAGCCTTGATGAAGAGGGTGTGAACAAAAATAGAAACAGTGTGCATTGAGAGCATTCCTTTCGCACAGACCTTACTTTCATCAACATGTGAAAAGCATTCTGGAAGTGGAAGGACAAAAGAACCACAGGCAGGTCGCTTGTACTCCCTGGCGGATTTTTCAAGACCGAATGGTTCCACGTCACGTGTCAGCTATAAGTGTGTATCAACGCGGTCAAACATCTCCTCTGGTGTGATCTTTGGGAAACAAAGTCACTTAGAAGGCTTGGAAAGTTTGCTTCAGCAAAGGGGATGACAACTATCCAGCATAGTGGACAAATTCAATTGTTCGAACCCAAAGTAGAAGGAAACGGGGTAAGGTCTTCGTTGCGAAGTGGCGTGAATGACTTTCACAAATGAAAACAACTGCTGAGCAAAGTAGTAAATCTCAAAAGCTTTTGCAACACCCTTCTTCCACAAGGAACTCGGTGACAACAAACGAGGCGCACTTTAATCCCTTCTCTGACCACGAGGCTGGAAAACCGCGTAAAACCAGACTACCTCGAACCTGCAAAGGCAACAGCAAACTGCAGTAGCACTGCAATCTTCAAACAAAGCCAACAAAGATCACAGCAAGGGACATACCTCTGTGATCTCAATCAGTAACAAACCTCTGCAGCATGTGTCTCGTGCACACAAGCCTCAGTGTGGCATAGAATCATCCTCACAAGCAATTACATGTTGTTCCCACCTATTTACGATAATATTGTCATATTCTATCACACAGGAAACCATACGCCATACACCACCGACTTTGTGCTTCGGCGGAACGCCCAGCCAATACCCCAAGAAGACAAACGTGTTTTCTTCTTGCCCGGTCTTATAACATCTATATATTGGATCAGCCACCGTCGAAAAATAATCATTTCGCGTGGCCAATGTGGGAAGGTCAGCTATCCCTCGCTTTAAGATTCGCAGTGTAACAAGTAAACGGAACTGTATTCTACGGTATGAGGTGACATAAGTGCCTTTCAGAAAGGGTTTTAACATTGCGGCCCCCACGAGAAGTCCCAACGGTTTATTCCAAGCCCGGAAAGCAAAAAAATGGGGGACCGAACAGTGCGTTGTAGTCTGAGGTCAAAGCTAGAGCTGCGGAAAGGAGCCTCCAACATTCTTCGGCCTGCCGAAGCACAGTTGGAGCAAGAACCGGGCGACCATTTGGAAAGAACAGCCTTATCCGCTTCGACTGCTAGCTACTGACTTGCGACATCTTGCGACCATCGACACCTTGCCAGTTTTTGCGCTCCCCGCTGTACTATTTTGCCAAAAAGGTCCGAAGAAAACAGACCGAAAAAAACAAGCAAACGACACTTAATGGGTAAAGACATATTTGGCATTGAGCATTCTTCAAGGTTCTGCCACGGCTGGCTTTTCTTTTTGCCTGCAAGGTATCAGAATACTGTTCTTCAAAAGTGGTTTGGCAAATGTGGCAGACCCACCGTGCGCTGCGCCACATCAACATCGTTTTTAGTTTCTTGGAGGTACACGCGCCGGTTCCAAGGGGACGTTGGTGCAAGTTACGCCGCCCAAGATGCCTTGCAATATTTGCACTTCGCTGTTTTGTTTCCCTTTCCCCGTCTTCCTGCAACAACAACAACAGCAACAACAACAATCACAACCACAACCACAACCACAACAAGACCAACCACCACCACCACCATCACCACAACAGCAACAGCAACAGCAATAACCACGTTGACACCAACCGCCCCCAGCAACGCCTCGCACTGTGCATCTCCCCAGCAACGCCTCGCACTGTGCATCTCCCCGCCGTCTCCTTTCCTTCGTTGGCCTTCTGGCCCGCAGTTGGGCATCAGCCCGTTAACTATTTCATCAGCCCTCATATCAGGCACAGCAGGGTAGGCAGAACTGACTGCTCACATTTACGCCGCCTATCTTTTCGCTCTATTTTACATGCATTGTTGATTGCACTGGGCCAACCATGTTGAAGTGGAGGGGTTTCTCAGTCTTCGTTTTCTCTACGTAGACCTAGCCCAATGGGCCAATTGTGCAGCCAATGTATATAACGCCCTCTCCTGAGCAGCCTCTCCGCAGCTTGCTACAAAGAGGACATGGCCATTGTTTGACCTGACATCACACCCATCCTCCAACGCCTACGTCAAAGTGCACAATCTTTCAACAGGAAGGAGAAGAACCGAACAGGACAAAAGGAACAGGACAGCTGGTGCAATGGTTTCATGCTCAAAAGGCAGCTTTGTTGCCAAGAACACACAAAACATGTTGAAGCTACCTGAACTATTCATTCATTGATCTTTCACAGGTTGAGGGAACAGTTTGGGCATTGTGACTTCCCGGCCTTAGTTTTATCAAATGATGCGACTAATCTCATAAGTATGGATGCAAGTCCTCAAGCAATCAAATTATGATCTAATTTTATAAGCCATTGATGTATTCTAGGGAAGTCCATAATTTATCTAAATCTGAGTCGGTTGTGGCTCGCTTGGGAATGTTATGAGTGTCAATCGGGCAATTTCCTATGCGCCACAATTTATTAGAATAATGTCAATAGGACATTCAATCATGCAGCTTTTTGGTCTCTCTACGCATTTTTTGGTGTTTGGCACTGTCCGCACACCATTTGTGGCGCATCCATATGCAGTTTTTGGCGTGTCTTTGTGTTTTTCTTGGATTTCTGTCCTGGATATTTACATTTCAAGACACTGTAGAACTTGTTTCAGCAAATGTTTATGATGAAGTATGTGATAAACGTATTTTCACAGGTATGTGGGATATCCTGTTCCAATCAAACGATTTGATTCAATTGAGTATTTTCTAGGGCATTTGGCTTTTGCAAGCAATGGTCTCAACAAAACACCGGCAATATAGTTGTATATCTGCTGGAATATGTATATAATCAGAACAAGCGAACACATTCCGCAAAAAAAACCTTTAAGAACCGTTTTAAGATTGTCAATGCGCCCACGGTCTCAAAGAGTAACAACAAATCCAGTAAATTGTATAAATACATATTATATGTATATGTATATATATACACACACCATATATTGATATATCATTTGGGGACTACAGGGACTGGTGTAATTTGTAGACACTGCCAGTAGTAAGGAACAAATTAAATTGGTTTCTGGCCAATCTCATTAGTGTGATAGGTATAAACTCGTCTTTATGACATGATTTGTGTCCCTACTTCCCTGATATTTCAGCGCGAGGGGCGATGGTCACCCTCCCCCATGCCCTGCTACTTTACGGAACCATCAGAACTTTGAGATCTGTCCAAGAAATTCACGTATCGTCAAGGATCTCCAGCTGCAACGACCCAGCTGCTGCTGCCTAGCTAGCACGAGGAGGCTGTAAACCAACTGGGCAATAATCAATGATCAAATCAGTTCCACATAGGAAATGGTTTTCTGACATATGCAAGGCAATGGTGCCTTGCGAATCTCCTGCATCTTGCTGCCGTTTTGGCCTTGCAAGTGTCTCAAGACGTTCAGCCCATAAGCTCCACGAGTGCCTGGAACTGCGATACCAGCCCAAGCAAACTTGTGGGATCAAATAAGGAAAAATGTTGGATGACCATGCAGCTGAACACTTTACAGTCGGCGCAAATGCTGCACAGCAATGACGTGGAGGCAGGTAAGTCCGTCGCGCACACACACACACAATCACGCAAACACAAACTCAGGAAAAAATATGAAACAGATTGAAAAAGCACGTGCGGTCTGAATGTCACATGCCACACGGAGGCTTAGGTGATCCTAGGTGCAAACGTCTCAGGCAAACCAAGTGCGAAGGAGTCCGGCCATCCAAGTCAAGTTCAAGATGCGTGACTGCCAACCTAGTAGAACCTAAACGGCCTTCTTCCTCTACCATTGGACAGAAACGCTCACAGCCAAACAGCAGGTACGTAACCCCAGCGTCCCGCAGTTATATCACTGTGTAGCACATGCGTGTGCGCTGGCTGAAAAGATCTGAAGCACACCCCAACCCGGCAAATTTAAAAACCAAAAGCAACCCTATATCTCCCTATGATTCCAAGGGTTGCGCACTTAGATAGATAGATAGTTCGCAAGAACAAGACTCAGTGAAAGTTCAGTGAAGTTACTGCATTTTACTTTGCTACAGGTTAGACCTTGGCTGAAAAAGCGGTGCTGCAAAAAGTCGGATGAACAGAATTGTTTCAACATAGGTGAAGCAGGACACGAGCAGTAGTGGTTGATTAGACCACTCATCCACCGACATGCCACAGCTTCGTTGGACTGGAGAAGCATATCGGCTCCTGTTCCCCTGCTGATTTAAGAATTCGAGAAAGGTAGGTGCTGTGCATCCCTCAGATACAGGGAGTGACACATACACACACACACACACGTTGGCCTTTCGGCACGCGGTCAGCAAAACGATCTTTTAAGGCGTGACGGTAATGTCCTAAAGGACATGGTCGTCACGCCTGCGATTTTTTGATGAAACAAGAGATAGCAGTTAAAGCTTCAGTTGCTTCACTGGCCACTGCAGCGGGATAGCCAGATCTCCGGATTGCGTGAATCCGGGACGTCAAGCCAGAAAGCCGCAGTCTGGAAGATCCCACTGACGCGTGATATCTGATTTTTCAGTGAGCAGTTGGTCGTATGCAGCGATGGTGCGTTGAGCAATGTTACGCAATGTTGATGTTGAAGCCGCGAAGATGAAGTCTTCTACCGCCTCCAGCTCGCCGAAAAAGTCAGGGTGGGTCGGGGCTTGTATGACTGCATGTTGCAGGAAGAGCTCGTTGAAGGTGATGAAGCCGTTGTCGACGTAGCAGTAGTAGGCAAAGTGAAGTGTGCGCGGTCAAGAAGGGAAGAGTGGATCCGGCGCCAGCGTTGCTCAATGAAGGTGATTCATGGCAACGTTGCAGAGCGCTGGGGACAGTTGGGATCCGATTCCCACGCTGGATCTGCGCTGACATGGGAGCGTTGTGTTGTGGAATACCGATAGATAGATGTGGAGCCCACGTAAAAGTGGCCTGATTGGTAAGTGTGGTGGGAAATGTGTTGGTTGAAGTGGACCCTGTGATAAACGGAATTGGGGGATAGAAAGCTTGGAGCGGTAAGCAAAAATGCGAAGTCAAATGCAAAAGACCTGCAGCGTCCGCTCGGTCAACAAAGGATGAGGGGCGGGGCGGCTCACAGGAAGGGAGCAAACTATACTGACATCAAGCGCAGGTTGCTCAAGTATAAGGGGCCCTGCGCAATCAAGACCAGCAACCCGTGCCCATCCATACAACACCGTCCCGCAGCACCACTCGCACATCAACGTACGCCGATCCCAGCGCAAATCCATGGGTGGCTTCTGTCGCCACCGTTCCATTCCGCCCATCGCCACCAGTTCCCAGTACTTGGACGCAAACAGAACTGCGCTGGGGCAGCACTCTGGTTAACAACCATCAGCGTTTCCGCTACGTGCAACCAACGGCTTGGCCGTGCAAACAGGGCGCTGCCTGTCTGGAAAACTTAGAACCTGGCAAAAAAGCGTCCATCGCTGAAGTAAGTAAGACGACAAGTCAAACTGAAAGAGGTGTGAACGCGCGAGATCTGAAAAAAGCTCCGACGTAAACTCGCAATGGAATGGTCTCAGTGAACATGGGCCAAACGTCAGGTCCTGTGTGGCCGCGTAGTTACAAGAACACGAGCGCGTGTAGCGAAGAGCCTCAGCAACACCGATCAACGGGCTAACAGTCATAAGATCAACGTGTTAAAAGGCGAAGAGGGACTCAACCATCGTGTCTCCTCACTGGATTCTGGCTGAAGGAAGACTTGAGGTGCTAGCTGCCGGCGCCCTCAGTTGTGGGCCATCCTGGGTTGTCGTTTGGCGCCGCCACCTGCCTGCAAGGGGTCTGGCCCAATCCACACAATGCCTTTCCATACAGACCCAACGCCAACGTTCCCGCTCACTAGCCCGCCAACCAAGTCGCAAAGGCCACTCCCGGTTCCACTGCTAGGGCTTCCACCGCCCCTACCACAGCAGTGTCCACACCACCATCGCGTTGGGGTGTTGAGCCCCCCCACCCATGCTCAGACCGCCCGAACCACATCAAGATGCCGCCAGCGTCGCTCATGCTTCATACCTTCACCATGAACAGTAAATTCTCCACTACATACCAACACGACCACATTCGCCCAACACTCATTTCTCAAATACGTATCCAGGCTCTTGGTAGCCGCTGACATTCGAGCAGGTGACCTCGAAGACATTCAACTTTGGACCCGCAGCACTTTGGGACGACGTCGCCAACTCCTATACAAACTACGCAACTTTTTCATGTGCGCCGCGGCCACCACAGACACGCCGAGCCAGTCAGCTGGCAGCGCCGGCTCTGCATGGATCGGAGAGTCACTTTGGAACGCAAGTTTTAGTTCACTTTGGAACACAGGGTTTTAGTTCACTTTGGAACACAAAAGATGCGTCGCTTTGGAACACAAAACAAGCCAAACACATGGAAGGGTTGACAAAAGCCATTTTCTGAGAGATCACTTTGGAAGACAACTCAACACACCAAGTTTTTTGGGTCATTTTAGAACACACACGCGCAGACACAGATGGGGAGGGCTTAAAGATGAAGGATGGGGTGGGGTGGGGGGGGGGGCCAGGGTAAAAAGACGAATTCATATATCGCACCTGTCTTTTGTCTATACTAAGGAAAAGGTTAAAGGTTGAAGAACATCTTGCTAGTGGTTACTGTGGCCTCCAACCTACTAGCGATGGCCTCCATAGTAGTAGCGATGGCCTCCAACCTTACTAGCGATGACGCGCGCGAAGCGATCGCATTCCTTCCTTCCGAAGCGATCGTTTTCTGCGTTCCGAAAGCGACTACCTCACCCCCTGCATGCCTCCAGACAGGCTCAACAAGACCTCGACAAACGCACGTCACGCATGAGTGACTTTCGCAAGGCCACGATAATTTCTGTCCTTTGCTTTTCACATGAACGCCCTGCGCGTCCTATTGTCGTTGCACCTTTTACCGCCTTTACCCACCATGTTGCCCAGGTTTTTTGTCCATTTATCTTGTACCGTTTTCACCTGCCGCTTGCTAGCTATCAGAGGCTCAAATCCGTGAATCGCATTTCGTACCACGAGTGCCCTGATTGCTTTTGACACATTGGCTTATTGGCTTTTCACTCAAAGACGGCTTTTCCACAACGCTTGAACCAGGCGCCGCTTCCTCGCTCTCCTGTATCTTCTATACCTCGGAGGCGGACTCCTGCGATTGCCAGCGACAGCGACACGCCGTCGCCAGATCCCAAAACAAACAAACGACTGTCCAACCAGGATTAACCAGGCTATGAGACGCGTTTGCAACTTGAAGTTGCGTTGCAGTTTTTTAATGATCTCGCATTCCGAGTGTTTCGAGCTTGCGTTTTCATGTTGCGCGTGTGCAGCGGCGATCTTGGCTTCTATTTCACAGTTGATCCTTGCGCCTTTTATGCGAATTACTGCAGCTGGCTTTGGATGAGTGTCACAGACCACTGCACTCGTACCCGCCGCTCCATTCATCTACTCCCTGGTTGCTGATTATGGCGGGCTGTTCCTCCAAACGAGTCGCCGCCTGACACTGAAGCTCACGATGATGCTTATACTGTACTTGTCCCCTCAGCTATTCCACTTGCCAAACCCTCTCAACATCATTGCCACATATTGCCACACTCTATTCGTACTTGATGCAGTGCGTCCACCACCAACTCAAGCCATACCGCAACTCACACGCCTCCCAGTTCCAAAGACTTCAACATCCACCAGCAAAGGCCCCTCCAGTTGACTTAGCCACTGGCACTCCAGGCCACCAGCCCAATTCTTCAAGCTCTGCAGCCCGCCACCTTCTTTCGCAGAGCCGGCCACTTCCACCGGTTCACGTCTTGTCCAGAGCCTTTGGCAGTCAATTTCCTAGTTCCACGCCCACCTCATCCACCGCCACAGCGCCAAAACCAGCCACCGCCAGCATCACCGCAGCCATTTCCACCACAACCTCCGCTCGCACTCTTCAGCCTCGTCCCTCGCTGCCGCACTTCAACGAGTTGCTCGCAATGCTTCGCAGACAGGCGCATCACCATCCAGCCACGCCAACCCCTGATGCGGCTTTCAGTTTCACAAGGTGGTTTCCAGCAGTTTCACTGAGGCATTGGTTTCACTGCTTTCTCATCCGAAGTTCGCAGCGCCGGCAAAAGCCCGCCACTGAGTCTACATGCTCCACATCTGTTGCAACCCGGTGGTGGAGTGGTGAAGCCTTGTGTGGGAGCCGCAGGTGTGGTCGAAGAAATTAAGCAGATAAAGGAGATAAGGGGGGAGCAGGATGTGTTGCGCTGGATAAGGTGGTTGGTGAAGTGGTGGTAGTAGGTGGCGGAACTGTGTTGAAAGTGGAGAATGTGGTGATGGGTGGTGAATGGGCCGTGTGGCGATGTAGACCGGAACTTGGATCACAGTGGGATGTGTGGGTGGTGGTCGATATTGAAAAGAGGGTGATGGAAGTTGGAGTGGGTGGCACAAGAGACACTAGGCCACTGCATGGCTGTGAGACTGGCACTTAGACCCGAACATTCGGGTGGAAAGCTCGAAGGTTGATTTCAAATTCATCAAGAAGGCTTCCAAAACATATGAGCGCGTGGATGAAAACAATTGGGAAACAATGCAATGCGACCGTATTCAGTGAGGTTCTTGCGGGCCCCGCGGCTTTATTCAGCTTTCTCAAGCAGAAAATTGCAAGAACGCAGTTGAGTAAAATTCCCCCTTGAGCGTCTATGAGTTCGGCGTCCAAAGATGGGTTCACACAGCACACCACAGTGGGACGATGCTGCAAATAAAACTTAAATAAAATCCAGTGAAGGTTCAGTGAAGTTACTGCATTTCACTTTACTGCAAGTTAAACCTTGGCTGAAAGAACGGTAAGGCGAAAGGTTGGATGAACAGAATTGTTTCAACATAGGTGAAGCAGGACACGAGATGGGCTTCTGCAAAGGACACCACAATGACTGGCTGTGTTGGCCGGGAGGCCAATGGCAGCCAAAAAGTAAATGCGATCAGGCGAACCCATCAAATTGTGATACTAACATATTTGTGATAGGTTTGATTGAATAACGCAAACATCCGTGCACATGCATGTGCGTGCACACACACCAACGCGCATCAACAAACTTGTCACCAGTGATCTTTTTGAGATGTGAAATGAAACAGCGGCTCCCGTGAAGGAATTTCGGCCATGCCGTGCACAATCCATATAAGAAGCATGCTTTCTGACATGGTTGGATCCATACTGACAGCAGTTTGGCCAGCGCAAAGCACCAGCGACCAGCAGCTGGGTACCCCAGTCGTGCACAAGAGCATCATACTACAGGGGGGCCACATCTGCCCCGCTATCAAGAAGATCAAGACGCGCAGCGCACCAGCAAGAGAAAAAGTAAATCAATGCGCAGCCCTCCTTGCAACAAAAGTAGCGTGAACGATATGCAAACCAGCAGTTGCTCCAAACAAAGGGTCATCCTCGTTCTCTTTCGCGCTCTAGCAGCTCGAGCACTGTAGAACTGGGTTCATGCTCTCCTTGCACTTCCCAACTCCGGAAACCGAGAATGCCTGCGCACCTTCAATTGCAAAGAACACGTGCGGCGGTGGTTCCCAAACGAGGTGAACACAAGATGCCGAAAGGGGCGGGCCTCACATACCGCTTTGGCTAAACACCTTTCCATTCCTCTAGCAACTCAGCTGCTCAGCTTTCACTGTTTCTTGCATACGCAATAGGATCAAATAGGCAGGCTCGCGGGTTGCAAGATTCCACAACCTAATAAATCACTTATGACATATGATAAGAACTGTACGCGCACCAAGTATAATGTTGCAAGACCATGCAAGACCCACCTCTACAACACAAGGTGTCAACGTACTGTCTCCTGTATATATACACAGTATATAATGGAACTTACCAAAAACATCCAGGTCGGCGGCCTCTCAAGGCCCTTTCTGACTCAGACCAGAATGCCTGCTCAAACGACACCAGCTATGCATTGACACTGAATTGTTTCGACAAAGACCATTCTAATTGGAGTTACAGTAAAGCTCCTTGGAAGCACCATCGGCACTTGAACCTCGAATGGCCTGAGCAAAGCCGCAATTAACTTTCCATGGCTATCCACAACCGTTTCCTGAGAACTGAGACCATGTCAAAACCAATCCTTGGTTTTTAGCCTCCAAAGCTTTTCGTGCTTCTGAATGGCTCTTGAAGAGGACGAATGCCTTCGAACGAAACGGTACGCTAACTATATAACAAAAAACCTTCAAAACGGACTGACTCTCGCCTTTCCACTTGGTCTTTGCTGAGCATCTCGAAGGAGAAACACCTGCTGAAGCTGAGTGAAACTGAGCGAAACTGCGTATGCTGCTATGCAGCGTCGAGGATTAATGTGGAGTATATAGCCAGCGCTGACAGAACATCCTTTCCATTTCCATTATGTTTCCTTTTCTGGTTCCCCAATGTTCCCCAGAGTTCTGGCAGCAAGTTGAGAGGTCTGGCGCGTGAGATGCGATGATCTGCGATCTCATAACATGCAGCAAGTCCGCTCCTCCTCAATGTCACCAAAGCTCCCAAGCAGGAACCTGACACCGTCCTGCAGAAACATTTTCTGTTGGCACTTGGAACATCATTGCAAAGGCTTGGCAAAACAAAGCCGGCATAAGCCGATATGAAACTCAACAGGACATTCTGATGGCTCCTCAGTGCCCGCTTTTGGTGGCAAGTGCGTCACAAAAATTTCCTTGTCATCCAATTTAGGCTCAACCTGCAAGGTCTGTCTGCTGAATGCACCAACCAATGCACCAAGAAATCATAAGAAATCAATAGACACCAAATGAATCTCTGCTAATGGGCATTTTCTGCAAACGGGTGGGGACTGAAGTGTTGCAACTACCAGACTCTAATGCGGCCAGCAGATTTGGGCTGAGGTTTTGAACGCAAGCGGTCGAAAGAACAGTTCTGGGCCCGAAGCTTTGCAACACACACTAGCAAAGGTGTAGCTGGAAGACATCTGGTGGCTGCCAGACCTGCTTGAACCCATATCCGCTGACCCTGCCTGACACCTGCTACGGCAGGGCGGCGCATGGGATTATCTTTGGTGTGGAGCCTTGCTTTGCTGGAACATGGCATCTCCAATGGGGCTTCGAAACTGCTGTGTAGCACGGCTTCCCTCGAGCGCTTCTTCCCTCCTTCGAACCTTCTGCAGCGCCTTGAGCCCGAACTGTGTTTATATGAGGTTTCGAAACTATATACCTCCCCTCCCGCTTCCGCATCAGTCGCTAGTGCTCCTGTGGGACATTGCGTACGGGTATGGAAAGTGGTTTAGGCTCGCTGTGTTGTCCTTGTGCTATTGTTGTCGTACCTGGTGCAAGCGTCGATTTCTGTGCGCAAACAGAAGTACTGCAACATGTCATTGTGTTTGTAGGGGAGACAAACCTGAGAATTACAAATATATATGGGGGTTGTTCAAAAGTCCTTTCATTATGTTCCAAGCCTTTCGCAGGACCTTCGCGAAGCTTTCGCAAGCTTTGTTTTACCACTGCCGGCGAAAATGGTTTTTCGTTGGGGCTAGAGGCTTTCAAGGATTCATGCAGTTGCCCTGGCACGTCTTGCGTCCTGTGATCACTGACACATTGGTTGCTGAGGAACAGGAAGCCAGCCAACCAAACCATTTTCATTTTGGTGTGTTTTTAGTTGGGCGCAGCCCTCCATGAACAAGAGACGGCTCAGGCCAGTTTGCTCAGACCTCCAATTTGCTTTTTCCCGGGGCGGGAAAAAGCAAAATGGTTCAGACTTCCAATTTGCTTTTTCCCGGGCCGGGAA